ATCAACATACTCAATGCTCTGTTTCCCAATCCTAACAAAAGATTTCTATGTTCCTTAAAAAAAAAAAAAAAACTGTCTAGAATGAAATTCAGTACAGATTGATTTTGACTACATTGATTTAGCACTATTTATAGAATCAGAAAGAGATACAAACTTTTCTGTCTTTTTATCTGTCAACAGGAACGATTGGCTAAGTAAAATAAAATTGTGGCTTTGGACTAGACATTTAACCTTCCTGAACCTCAGCTTAATCTGTACAGAGGGAATTAACATTTCAAGGAATACTGTGGGCACTTTTTCTTTACTTTGATTGATTGCTCCTTTTGGGGGAAATCAACTCCATGAAAGAATTGAATACTGTTCTTTTAAAAGAATCTATTATGGCCCGCTGCATTTGTAAACCCACAATTCCATTATTTGGCCTCCAATTTCTCAGCCTTACTCTGCACACTCTTATTCACATTTAGTTTAGGTTTGACTTTTCTTTGCTTAGGAAGAATAAGATATATACTACTAATCAAAAGCCATCAGGCTGCAGTATTTCAACAACAACAAATCCTAACCTGCCAGGGTGAGCAATGATTTGAGTCTACTGTAGTCTTACTCAACCAGTTATCCCAGATGTGACATTGTTGCTTGCATGTACTTAGAAATTATCACAGTGCCTAAGTGCTTTTGCCTATCAGCTTCTATGATTCCTGGAACTCTCCCCATATGCCATGTCGGGAAGGAAGGGACTGCCAGTTACTTATGTAATGCTTATTTATGTAGCACCACAGAGAAGTCAGAGACTGAGATTTGTTAGCCACTGAGTATGTGCTGGTGGCTGACATCCCCCTGCTCTCAGCCAGAGGGTGGGAGATTCATTATTCATCCCACCATGAATCAGGCACCTCAGTACGGGTCCTCATGCTTTCTTTCACCTCCACACTCTAGCTATAAAAGAGGTCTATTACCCTCATTTAGAACCTGAATCTCCCAAAGGTCAAGTCTGATGAGAGGAGAGCCGGTGTTCAGACCAGGGATTTCACAGTCCCAGGCTCCTGAATGTATTCTGTTTTGTTTTATATTATTATTTTTTTTTCAAACAGTGTGATCACCTGTCAACCCAGATCGATTCAAGTTCTCCTTGCCAGCTTCCCATATCCTGTAGTTTTGGCTTATACAGGTGGCTGGTACCACATACAACAGATATAGAATACCTAAAATTAATGGTTTGGAGGAATTGAACCTTTTCTGAGGCTCAAAGATGTTGGACATGGCTTAATGTGACCCTCCATGTGGGCGGTGTGTGTTTGGAAAGGGGATAGAAGGGGGCTCAGAGAGGTGAGCCAGGGATTCCCAAGGGCTGGTGTTGACTCAGGTCTGTAATTTGAAATGAGTCATTTCTGGCATGGGGGCAAACTGCCTCAGCCCCTCACCAAACTATCGGGAAGAGACAGGCAAGAGACTCCCCTCTGGGAGAATCACCCTAATAATAAACGTTAGCCAGAATTTGCATGTCCCTCTGTAGTTTGCAAAGCATTTTCAACTTCTCCCCCTTTATAAAAGTCTTTATTGGTAGTATTGTTTACTAGAATTCCAAAATGGACCAGCATTTGTGGTTACCTAGTTTGGTGGATTTTTATAGATTTTGGGAATAAAAATCCTTTGTCCAAATAAAATCTTCCACAATATTGTAGTATATAAAACAGAACTTTCAGAGGGATGACATGAGACAGGCCAGGGACAGCCCATTCTGAAGCCATGTTTCTTAGGGATCTCCAAGCAATTTCCAGGTTGCATAAGACATCTCTAGTTGTTAAGATCCACCCATTCCCAGTATCCTCAACATGAAACCCCTCTGGGCTGCTTCCTCATTAGAGCCTGAAGCCTCTAGTTGCTTTAAGAAGGTGACCTTTTAATCCTAGCTACTCAGGAGGCTGAGATCTGAGGATCACGGTTCAAAGCCAGCCCGGGCAGGAAAGACCATGAGACTCCTATCTCTAATAAACCACCAGAAAACCGGAAGTGGCGCTGTAGCTCAAGTGGTAGAGCGCCAGCCTTGAGCTGAAGAGCTGAGGGACAGCACCCAGGCCCAGAGTTCAAGCCCCACAACTGACCAAAAAAAAAAAGAAGAAGGTGACCTTTCCAGCCATTGACACACTTCTCAAAGTGCTACCTTGGAGGCAAAAACTCAACTCAGAACTGCTATCTTCATTTTAGACCAACAGTCTCTTGAATCATGGTTGCCAGCACCTTAGGGTTTAGGGAGGAGGTTCAGCTGGAGAGTTTTATCCCCACATACTTATCCTAAAAATGCCATAAGACACAAGTTTCTCTCCAGCTGAAAACCCCCATTAGACAACTCTGGAAATACTGAATGCCACAGAAGTGAATTTGATGGTCAATTTTACATTATGTGTACTTTAATATAATATTTTTAAAAACTTACATTTTTAAAATTCCTATAGGAACTTGGAAAAATTACAATTCCCTTAAACAGTTTACAGTGTCCTACTGTCTCCCACCCAGTCTCTTTAGCTGATTTAATATTCCAGCATATGCATATACACATACATATATGTATGTGCATATAGTTTACTATGTACATATATGTATATATCTAGTGTTTAATACATAGCTAGTATTTAATACATATTAATGCATGTATTTAATGCATATATCTAGTATTTAATACATGTATTTAATACATCTAGTATTTAATATATTTAATATAAATGCTTTAATTCTCACTGATTGTATAAAGCAGCACAATTAACTATTATTAAGCCCATTGTATATTTGAGGATACTGACACATACAAAGGTCTTTGCCCCCTTCAAGGTCATCTAATACCCAAGACAAAACTTGACCATGAACATTCTGTTCCTAAATCCTTGCTTTTCCTCACTACAGTCTACTGCTGGCAGTGACCTGTTCCTGTAGGTTCTGTATAATTATTCCTCTTTCCAAACCTAGTTCAATTATCATCCCCCATGGGAAATTTCTCTAGTCTGACCCAGGAAGGCATGGAGTTCCTTGCTCTGGATCATAGGACTGATGGCACCCTGAATAACATGTAGTCATCCATCAGCATCCCAGGGTGTTAGTTCTAGGTCTTCCCTGGGGATATCCAAACCTCCAGATGTGCTTTCTTCATATGGAATGGTACAGTATTAGAGTACACACTATATACATTCCCCCATAGACTTTAAATAATCTCTAGGTAACTTATAATACACACATCATTTATATGCAAAACATTGTTAAGATGTATTGCTTAGGGAAAAATGTGTATTTTTAGTACAGGTGCACTTTTTCCCCCAAATATTTTTAAATCTACAGAGAGCTGATTTTATCTTACAACCTGTTTCACACTGTGGGTAATAACTTCCTTGTGAGCCTGATTGCTTACCTGAGAATGAGGACACTGAAGACAAGGCCAGGGATTATTTTTCTTGGTACCTATGTGTTTGATGAGTGAATGGATGGGTGGCTGACTGGCTGTGTTTCTCGCAGCTTTTCATTTCTTTCAGTAAATTACAAAAACCTTCCCTTCTGTCAGAAGTTCTTCCATTGTTCCTTCAAGGTCTTGCCAGAGCCACTGCTAACCACTTGCATGTCCGTGGATCTCTTTGGATAAGAAGTCTGTTCTGATTTACCTTCAATAGCTTGCATTAAAATAATACTGCTTTTGAGTCCCAAATATTACCTCATCATAACTGAATACGGAATTATGACTCAAAAGATGAATTTTCTGCTTTTAAAGAAAATGCCCATCTCTACCCCTCTGAGATTTATTGGTTGGAATAAGTACACTGATGTTTGCATAGCTCTCATAGGAGTGTAAATGGGAGCGAGGATTGGATGTGTGGCTGAGTAGGAGAAAGGGTAAAATGGTGATGGATATGTTGACAATGGATGAAGAGTGGGTGTGCGGATGGGATGTGGGTGGATGGAGAAGAGGGCATGAAAAGATGCCGCTTAATGTAGAGATGTGAAAAAAAAAAAGATGTAGAAAAGGAGGGATGAGAAGATGTACAATGGGTGGATGGATGGAGGAACTGGCTAGGTTAAAAAAGGATGGACCGTTGGATCCGCGAATGCATGGGAAAAAATGATAGCTACGGACAGATAATGGTTGGCGGGGGAATGGATAGTTGTAGAAGAATGTGTAAAAGGATAGGTAGAAGGACACGTAGAAGGAAGTGTATTTGAAGGATGAATGGGTGTGGGTGGGTGGAAGGATAAAAATTCCATTCTGGGAGCAATGAGTGAACACCCCCATGGCTGGCCACCACCCAGGAGTCGGGGCAAGAAGCTGGACTTTCTCTGTGGAGAAGAAAAAAAAGAAGGCTGAGTTCTCTCGGAACTCTCCCGCCGTCCCTCCTCCCCGCCCTCCTCCCCCACCCCACACACACTAAGCTATGGCCTGGGAAAGCCCCACCATCCAGGGCAGGCTCTCCCCGCCTCCTCTCCCAGGATGTCCAGCAGCCTGGGAAATCCAGAGACTCATCCCTCTTCCCCCCCCCCCCCCCCCCCCGCCCCAGCCAGATTCCAAGAAGTTGAGCGGGGAAAGATGAGGCGGGAGGCTGAACTCAGCGGGGAGAGGCGGCCCTCCATCCCCGGGCAGCAGCAGGGGCGGGCTGGCGGGCGAGGGGAGACAGGTGCGTCCTGGGGCGCACCGGGCAGTGGGTGACGGGCGACGCCGACGGCCCGCCGTCCACCCCGCACCCGCCGGGGCAGCAGCCCCTACTCATAACTTCCATAGAGAGCAGGGCGGGGACAGAGGGGCAGCGAAGGCGGGCCAGTACGTCTTTAAACCTCCCCTGGCTGCTTAGTCACAGCCCCCTCGCTTTGGGTGTGTCCTTCGCGCGCTCCCTCCCTCTTAGATCACTCTTCCAACCCTCGAATAAAAACGGCAGCCAACTTCCGAGGCGGCCTCATTGCCCAAGGCCCCCAGCCTCTGACAGGTCCGGTCCTTCCTCCTCCTTCTCCTCCTCCTCCTTCTCCTCGTCCCCGTCCTCTGCCAGTCCCCGGGGGACCCACCCCAGTGCACCGCGACCCTCCTGTTCCACTCGATCCCTCGCTTCGCTCCCACACCATGAACAACTTTTGGTGGCACGCAGCTTGGGGACTCTACTGCTTGGTGCAACTGAGCCTGGCGCAGACACAGATCGGTGAGTGAGCGCTGCTGCTCGGGCAGCCGGTGAGTGGGAGCCTAGGAGCGCCCAGATCTGCCCTGCCCGCAGCCCCACTAGCTGCGTCCCTCCCTGGAAGGGAGGCGAAACTGCCGTCTAGTGGGAGCTAGGGAGACTTGGATCGGGTTCATTCAGGAAAGCAGGGCTGAGGATTTGCGCTAAGCTGTCGGAGGAGAAGCATGGTGTTGGGAAGCACCCGTTTTTTCTTTCTTTGTTTTGTTGAAAGGAAAAGAGAAAAGAGGAGGAGAAAGTTTGCTGGGCAGGCTGCCGGCGCGCGCGGCTTTGGGCGAGGTCGCTAGCGCCTGAGCACATGGCAAGCAAGTAACTGTACTGGATGCGTGCGGCTGTGGACTAAGAGGATCCTGGGCTCCATGGATTTCTCACCCTCTCTGGCTGGGCTGTGCCCGGCTGGCTGGGAAAATTGCTGGTGTCTAGATCGGTGGTAGTCGGGGCGGGGGAGAGGCGGGGGGACGCTGCTGTCAGCCAGGTGGCCAGAAAGCGGCTAGGGGAGAACTCTTGACCTTGGGCTTCCCAGGGAAGAGGCGTGTAGCTCGCCCCCTCCCCACCACCCCACCCCCGGGCCGGGTTTCAGCTCTAGCCAGTGACCACTATATGGCTTGTGGGGAGCTTGCGGTATCTCTGTGGTGAAGATTCCAGTCTAAGTCAGCCGGGACACCTAGGAGAGGCCATGGCTGGACCAATCCTTCTAACCTCCTACTACTGCCAGTGAGTCTTGGAGAAATCTAAATGTTAAGGTGGCCCATATCAGGGGCCACAGCAGAGACCTCAATATCCCATCCAAACAGAATTTAGTGACTTTTGCTAGTTGTGGAGGGGAAGGGCTTCTCGTGAGGGTTTCCAGCTGGCTCCCCATCTAGTGTTCCCTTTCTTTGTCTGTATAGGAGCAGATAATTACATGGCTGATTTGCTTATCGCTAGCAAAATTAATTTTTTCTTTTAAGAAGTGCCAGCTGGGTCATTAAGCCAGCCTATGGTGGATTCTCCTCAGCAAGTATTTATTAAATCCACATGGAAGAGGGAGTAACAGGCAAGAGATTCCGTCTGCCCTGGGTGTCTTCAACTAGGAAGAGGTAGGGATTTAGAAATTTGATTTCTGAAGCTGAAGTAACATGAACAATAGTAGTAATAATAGCACTCCAAACTAGCCGATTCTTTTCACAGTTTTCACTGCAACCGGCTCTGGGTTAAATCCTTTACATGTTATCTCATTTTACCTTCACAGTGGCCCAGTGAGAACTATCTGCTAATTAGGCCAGTTTTACTGGAGGGACCAGAAGATTCAGAGAGGTTTAGTAACTTGCAGGTATTCGCACAGTCAGAGGTGAGGCTGAATAAAGTTCACTGAGGTCCAGAGCTTAGATTTAGAATGGGCTAGAAGGCATGGGATAGACCAAGTAGGGAAGGAATTGGGGGATGGGGGAATTCAGATGGAGTCGAGGCCCTGGGGGAAGTTCTAAAGGGAACTGGTTGGTGCTCAGAGGTGGGAGAGAGAGGAGGGAAAAGGGGCAGGGAGGGCTTGGGGACTTCCTCAGAGGAAAGACGCTGTGCAGGTTTCTTATTGCTTCTAGGGAAGTTTGTTGGCAAGCTACCACTGTCTTTTGCTTTGTTTCTGAGGATTCAAACTCAAGGCTCTCTCCACTGAAAAGCCCTCCCCTAGTTCTTAAGGGCCACCCTGACACTCAAGGCTCTCCTAGAAACCATGGGGCTCCCTCCAACCTTGGTTTTGCAAGGTCCCTTTGGGCAGCAGCATTCGAAGAAAACACAGTAGAGTGCCAGCAGCGGAGACTGCCTGAGCTCTGGCTTTCACGTGCTTGTAAATTTGCTAGAAAGGAACTGAGACTTGGAAAGGAGACATGACTTAGCAGAAGGTTTAGTGGCTCAGCCAGCAAAGGGGAAAGGAGAAAAGGGAGGGTGGAGGAAAGGCACTGTGGTTGCTCCTTTCTGGGAGTGATGGGCTTCAGAAAACCATTAGGAAATTTTAGAAACTGTCCAGCCTTTGTTTGCTTTTGGTTTGTGCTGGTACCAAGGCTTGAACTCAGGACCTCACACTCTGACTTGCCTTTTATACTCAAGGCTCTGCCACTTGAGCCAAACTTCTGGCTTTTGGCTGGAGATAAGCTTTGAATGGAGATCAGATTGTTGGAGATAATTTTATCCTATTGTCTTCCTGGGCTGGCTTTGAATCCTGATCCTCAGATCTCAACCTCCTGAGCAGCTAAGATTAAAGGCATGAGTCATCTACACCCAGCTGGTCTAGTCTTTGTATCCGAAATCAAAAATATAGAAGTAGCCAAAGGCGGTTAAGGAATACTGGACTCATCAACTCAGAGCTGGAGAACAGGTATCTAGAATGAGTGTTGTAGAAGGTGAGGGAGTGACTCCTCTGTACACAGATCTACTTTCCCCTGTGAAGAGAGGTCACAACCAGGGAATTACACCCCTGGTATTGAGTAAGTGGGGGTGCTTCTCAGAGCCCTGGGGCTTGGGATTGGCTCACAACTTTCCCACTGAGTATTAGAGGTGCCTCCTCCTGCTGAGAGTTCAAGCTTTGGCTCTGTTTTCCCATGGGAAGACACTAGGAAGCAACCCCCTGTCATTTAATTCAGTTATTTCCCCTGGCACACGGTGGAGATCTACTTCCTACAAAGAAAGCGTCTTGACCAGTGCAGGTGTTATAGGCTTGCAGCCGGTAGGAAAAGGTTCCATTTTCTTCCAACTCACCCCATGTAGGAGGGGCTACTGGGATACCAAAATTCCTAGTTTATGACTACTCTCTAGTCCATTCATTCAAGAAAAAACTAATTCAGTATAGGAGACTCAGAGATGGATATGCTAAGGATCATTTAGTAAAACCCCTCCTTTTTCCGAAGAGGAAGCAGATCATGAGAAAGAGATGGGCTGGTGACTTCCCTTCTGAGGGACTGTCTCACATTCATTTTCTGAAGTAACCCTGTTTTGAGAGTTGTAAGATCCCCACCCTCCCCCCTCCCCCCACTGACTGTGATAAGGGAGTCTGTGTTCTTTAACACCTCAAATTCTATCTCACACACTCATGACAACTGTGTGTTTTCCTTGACACTCACTTTGAGTTTAATATAATAATGATGTCTGTGTCTTCCCATAATGCAAAGTTATTTGAAAAAGATTCAGTGTCTCATTGTAAAGCTCCTGGAACATCACTGGGTGGTTAAGGAGCACTCATGTTTTAAAAACCTGCCAGTCTGCTGTGGACTCAGATGGTCCTACACAAAGTATTGTCCCAAGACCTTCCCTAGGAAATATCTCCTGTTGAGTACTGACTCTATGTTAGGCATTGAGCTGGTGATTAGCAGAAGTTGTCTTAATTACCCCTATTCTCCCCCCCCCACACACAAATCTGGTGTGTGTGTGTGTGTGTGTGTGTGTGTGTGTGTGTGTGTGTGTGTGTGTGTGTGTGTGTGTATGTGGTATGTGGTGTGTGTGTGTCTCAGCATGGTACTGAACTCAGGACTTTATATTTTCACTCAAGGCTGGTACTGTACCCCTTGAGCCATACTTTCCCTTCACTTCTTGTACTAGTATTTTCTTGGGTTTTATTTGTTTGTTTTTCTGGTCAGGTGTAGGGCTTGAACTCTGGGCCTGGGTGCTGTCCCTGAGCTCTGCCAGTGCTCTACCACTTGAGCCACAGCACCACTACTGATTTTCTCATGGTTAATTGGAGATAAGAGTCTCATGGACTTATCTGCCCGAGCTGGGCTGGTTTAGAACTACAATCCTCAGATCTCAGAATCCTGAATAGCTAGGATGACAGGTGTGAGCCATCAGCACCCGGCTACTTAACTCCATTTTCTTGATCAAGAAACGAAGACTCATAGGCCAGACGCTGATGGCTCATGCCTGTAATCCTAGCTACTCAAAAGACTGAGATCTAAGGATCTGAGCAAGAGAGCTCAGGGACCATGCAAGACCCAGAAAGATGACGTGGTTTGTCCGAGAACACAGCAGTGCAGTGGGGACTTGCCATTGTCTGATGTCACTCCAGTAAGACTTCAGTGCTGTTTCCATTTATTATTACTTTGCCTTTGGAAGACTTTGGACATTGAGTATGGGTCTCCGACCCTCCATGTCCCCTTTGGCCTTTATGGCCTGGAAGGAATGGCTTTTCACCCTCACAAAGGCTGTGGGCTCTTGGCTGCCCTGCCCTGTTCTGACCTGTCTCTCCTTAGGCTTGGCCACAGCTGTCAGAGATGCCAACCTAGTTATTTGTTGCTAAAATAAGTCAATTTCCTTATCAGAGTCCAGCTGCCCTCTAGACATGCTCTCATTTGCAGCCTTGGAAAACAGGGAGAGGCTGCTTCTCATCTTAGAGACAAGTTGGGGCAGTGTTCTGTGCCTGAACATTAAGAAAGAGGCCCTAAAGACATTCTCACACTGCCCCTGCAGGCATTTCAGATGCAGTGACCCACACAATCCTTAGTCTCTCATGCTCACTGGTGGGTTGGGTTGCATGTGCTCCCAGTAAGGGGAAGTATTGAGGTACCAGGCAGTGGGTTGACATGGTCCTCTATAATAGTCAAGGATATTAGCAGGGCATTGGTGGCTCATACCTCTAAATCCTAGTTACTCAGGAGGCTGAGATCTGTAGATCATGGTTTAAAGCCAGCTAGGGTAAGAAAAGTCCCTTCAACTCCAATTAACCATCAAAAAGCCAGAAATGGAGGTGTGGCTTAAGTGGTAGTACACTAACGAGCCTTGAACAACAACAAAAAAGCTAAGGGACATCACCCAGGCCCTGAGTTTAAGCCCCGGTTCTCTCTCTCTCTCTCTCTCTCTCTCTCTCTCTCTCTCTCTCTCTCTCTCTCTCTCTCACACACACACACACACACACACACACACACACACACACACACACAATGTTAAGGATGTTAAGGATCTTGGAGCAAAACCAAATGTGAAGTTCTGAATGACACATGGCCACT